GGCGTCCCATATAAAGTGGAGGAAGATGGGCACGGATGTTAGCCCAGGGCCAGTCTTCCTCAGCAAAAAGAGGAGGATTGGCAGATGTTAGTTCAGGGCCGATCTTCCTCACCAAAAAATAAAAATAAAAAATAAATGAGTAAGTGCTATCAGCCCCTTCCATGTAAGAGTTCTTCCAATTCCTTCCTCCAGAACACACAGAGCTGGCAATGTTTGTTTTCCTGCCAAGAGTATCCTGCCTCAGCAGGCTGTGTGAGGGTCCTCCAGCCCGGTGACCTAGCAGTTAAGTTCCCCCTAGGAGGCCCCTGGTTCGCAGGTTCAGATCGCTGAGCGCAGGACCTATGCACCGCTCATCAAGCTATGCTGAGGCGGCGTCCCACATACAGCAGCTAGAAGGATGTACAACTATGACATACAACTATCCACTGGGGCTTTGGGGAGAAAAAAGGTAAAAAAGAAGGAAGATTGGCAACAGGTGTTAGCTCAGGGCCAATGTTCCTCAAAAAAAAAAAACATACTGAGCACAGTATCTTGCACTTAATAAAGTGCTCAATACAAATTTGCTGATAATAATACTAACAATAAGAAAAAAACACCTTCATCATATGCTGATATTTAAGATTAATTGAGATAATGTATGCCTGGCACACGCTAAGTGCTCAGTAAATATTAGTTCAATCCCTTTACAACGCACTGATATTAAGTACAAGAATAGCCGCATCTTGCTTCATGACTGGGTCATCTCCCCTGGGGGCATAAAATTAATTTTTTTTTCAAGTACACTGTGCATTTGAAGTTTATATTTAAATCTGTGCTCAGCTCTGGGCCATCCATAACACTTACTTAAAATTAGCTTATGATTCAAATATTACTTAAAAAATTATGTAGTAGTCTCCCGGAAAGCAAAACAAGAACAATGCACTAGAAGTTAGGAGAGTTGAGTTTAGTCATAGCCTGGCCGCTAATCAACTACGTGATTTTCAACAATCATTTAATCTCTCCCTGTTGCTCATTTTCATTATCTGATAAAATGAGGAATTTGGACCATGTAAATTCCAACATCCCTCTGAGCTTAAAATACTCTGATTCCATTGATTACAGAAATTCCTGTTCCGAGGGAGATAAACTAAAATGTCCTTTGGAAAATTTAGAACCCAGTTTACCAATTAGATGTTATTCAATATATAGTCACAGCTTTGTGTACTTAGAAAAAAAAGCGTTAATCGGCCACAGACTTCTAAAATTTCAACTAACGACATCAAGAAAAGAAAGAAAGGCATATGGATAAGAAGTCTGCAGAGTAGTATGTGGGAGTCATGGTTTGGACTTCAGGAAACTGAGGAGAAGTTTCCTGAAGCTTGGTAGTGCTGATTCTAAGAACAAACAGGAATCCAAGTCTGTAAGCTGTACTAATTAAGGTCATCATTCCAAGTGATCCATACTGAGGGCTAGAGCACATAACGGAACAAATACTAAAGTTAGATGTTTTCAAAAAAAGAAGTGGAATGCTTGTATCACAATTTCTTGATCCTTTTGCCCCATCTTGAGTTGATGACTGTCTTGGAGTATTAGTTGTAATGGAAATGGGCACGTTTCCCGGCCTGGACCACGTATCAAAGGGTGGTGGTGGGCACGCCAAGAGGAAGGGAAGGAGAGAGTAGTGGTGGGGCAAGAGGAAGCTGAAAAATTGCCTAGGAGTCCAATTGCAATGGATGCTGCGCCCGCCACTGCGTGTCTTCAGTTAGGTAAAAAGAACAGCCTTCTAGCCTACTTCAACTCAAGTCCTGCACACGACATCCTCTGAAAAAGCAATACTTAAAGATGTAGCTAAAGTGAGATTTTGACTTCTAAACACTTAGTGTTTATGGATTAAGGCATTTGACTCGAATTAACCTCAGTGTTTATTAGCAGTATGACTGACAAGCAACTAACACTTTTCACCATGTGTAACTCACCAAATTGTCACAGTTACAGAGCCTCTATTAGTAGAAAATGCAATTCCTCAATAAGTGCAAACACGTTTTTCTCAGGAGAATACTGTTGTTGATTAGTGACTCAGCCAAGCACATTGCTAAACGTACTGTATGTAGCAGCTGATGACTCAAAATACACCATCGGCTTTGCTAGGCATAGTTGAATGTGTTAAATGTGCGGGGACATTTGATGAGCTTGAAAAATCAGGAGATCTTGTAGGGGAAACCAAAAAAAGCCAAACCAGGACAAGGTATTTACAAAAAAAATTGCAAATTTCCTGAGCATTATTTTGGTGACCAACAAGAATTTTTTTACCCAATAGCTGTCTCTATTGGCCATTTTAAGAATTAAACTCCTAGGTTGGAAGGTCTAGTGTATAAAAACAATTACCTGCCATCCAAGTTATCTTGGGGGCTCTATATGCATTTGTTAATATTTTGTTCAACAGACACTTATTGCACAGCTGCTATGGACTGAGCATTATGAACCTCATAAAGATCAGGTTGCGTTCTAAGCTTCAAGAACTCAAAATCTAACAGTACAAATAAGACATGTTGTTTATAAATAGCTATAATACAAAGAAGCAACAGATAAATAATAATAATAATACAGATGAAATACTGTAGGCATTTAGAGCTTAGAATCATGTCCCTTTTTGCTTATTCTGGCTCCAAAAAGCCACCACGCAGATATAGAAGGATTCCATTACTATCAACAAAAAGCAAGCGGAGCCAGAGGACCCCCAGTGGTAGACAACAGAGAACCTCTGGAAGATTAGGTTTCCTTCACAACGCACAATGGACAAAATCCCTAGTTTAAGGGGCCTGGGCATTTCTCAGGGGGCAGTCTTCCATTGCATCCTTCTTCATGTGATATACAAGTCATCCATTTTCTTCTGGGGATAGCCTGGCCTCATCCTCCGGGAGTGATAATGCCCATTTCAGGGGATATACCAGCCAACATTATCTACGACTCTCTGGGGGCCTGAGG